GGCGGCACGGCCCAGCATTCCCGGGATTTCACCTTCACCTCTGCCCCATCCCCAGCAGGTTAATTAAGAGCTCCTGCCGTTCCCCCCTGCCAGAGATCCCGTCTTGGAGCGCCGCTGTGACCGCTCTATTTGGGGACGGGCTGCCAAGCGCGTGGACGTCTTCATCGCCCGCTCGGCGCGTCCCGGTGCCCACCGCCGGAGCCGGGAGAGGCCGGGCCCGTCCGCGGCCAAGCGGGGCCCATAGAGGCCTCATTGTCCCCGCGTCTCCATGGTTTTCCTGGAGGCCCCGGCGCTGTTTAACAACGCGTCCTGCCCCGCCAAGAAGGGGATTTAGCTCCTCCGAGACCTCCAGATACAAAACAAAAATGTGCAACAAGATTCTTTTTGACTATGTAGGTCAGGGCAAGGAAAACAAGCTGTCGGGAACAATCCCCCGGGCTGGCGGGGGGGATGGATTAGCCGGGACCTAAGAGGGCTTTTCCAGCCCGGGTCCCGCTTGGCTTTGTCCGGCGGGGCCTTTGTGTTGAGCTACAAACCCAAGCTGAACATCACTGGCGGGAGGTTTTGTTTTTTTTCTCCAAGGGGGCACCTTGGAGAGAGACATCCTTAAATATGATTTCACAGGCGCTTTTCAGGCCGAGCGCCGGGGCCGAAACGCTTCCGCGGGGCTTGGCGGCTGCTGGGAGGAGTCGCATGGATGTAGAGGCTCAAAGGGAACCCCACAAGGCACCAAAGACCTCTTGCTGGTGGCCCCCGGGAGGCTGAACGTGCCTCGGGCAAATCCCGAACAAAGCCCGAACACTCTCGCCACGGAGCCAGGTAGCTGTTGGTGGGGAGGGAGAATAAAGAGCCAGGAGGAAAGGGATGAAGGGAAAATAGAAATAAAAAAGTGAGGATTAGGAAGGGGGTTTGAAGAAGATGGAATTAAAACACTGGGAGTTGTTCTGGAACAGGCTTGGGAGCAGTGCAGGAGCTCAAAGGGACATGGAGCTGCTCCAGGGCTGGAGCCCCTCTGCTCTGGAGCCAGGGTGGCAGAGCTGGGAATGTTCCCCTGGAGAAGGGAAAATTCCAGGGAATGCTCAGAGTGCCTGGAGGGGCTCCAGGAGAGCTGGAGAGGGACTGGGGACAAGGGACAGAGGGACAGGAGCCAAGGAATGGCTCCCACTGCCAGAGAAACTCCAGTGACCCCAAACCATTGACAGCAGCTCCACACGAGCCCAGGTGTGCCCGGGTGGCCAAGCAGGCCAAGGGCACCTGGGCTGTGCCAGGTCTGGGGTGG